AATCCCAGCTACTCAGGAGGCTGAGGCAGGAGAATTGCCTGAACCCAGGAGGCGGAGGTTGCAGTGAGCCGAGATCATGCCATTGCACTCCAGCCTGGGTAACAAGGGCGAAACTCCGTCTCAAAAAAAAAAAAGAATAGTCATTGGAAACATATTTAACAGGTACTTATATAATATAGTCAATACAATCACATACCACATAGCAATGTTACAGTCAATAGCAGACCACATGTACAATAGTAGTTCCATAAGAATAATACCATATTTTTACTGTACATTTTCTGTGTTTAGATATTCAAATACTTGGCTTTGTGTTACAGCTGCCTACAATATTCAATACAGTAACATGCTGTACAGGTTTTTGGCCTAGGAGCAACAGATTATACCCTAGAGCATAGGTGTATAGTAGGCTCTACCAGTCTAGGTTTGTGGAAGTACACTCTATGATAGTCTCACAATGACAAAATCACCAAAAAACATTTCTCAGAACATAATCATGTGATTAAGCAATGCATGACTGTTCTTCCTGACTGCCAAGCATTAGGCTACAACGCTACAAAAAACGACTTATGGAAAAGCAACCAGAAGAGTGTAGTGTTTCTTAGAAGATCGGGAGTAGTTAGCAGTGTTAGGTGCTGCAGGGGCATCTGATTAGCTGGATGTGGTGGTGCATGCCTGTAATCCCAGCTACTTGGGAGGCTGAGTTAGGAGAATTGCTTTGACCTGGGAAGTAGAGGTTTCAGTGAGCCACGATTGTGCCATTGCATTCCAACCTGGGCAATGACAGCAAAACTGTCTCAGTAAAAACAAACTTTTGAAATCATCTAGCACAGTTCTTGGCACAGAGAAGTTATACAGGAATATGTTATTTTACTTGCACTTTGCTTTATTGTACTTCACAGATACTGTGTTTTCTACAAATTGAAAGTTGGTAGCAACCCTGCATCAAGCAAGTCTGTCAACACCATTTTTCCAACAGCACATGCTCACTTCATGTTTCTGTGTCACATTTTGGAAATTGAGTATTTCAAAATTTAAAATTAATTATATCTATTATGGTGACCTGTGATCAGTGATCTTTGATATAATTTGCAATTGTTTGGGGGCACCACTAACCACACCCATATAAGATGCCTAATTTAACTGATCAATGTGGGGTGTGTTTTGACTCTTCCACCAACCAACCCATTCCCCGGTTTCTCTCTTCTCAGGCCTCCCTATGCCCTGAGACACAACAATGTTGGAAAGAAACCAGTTAATAACCCTACAGTGGCCTCTCAGTGTTCAAGTGAAAGGAAGAGTCTCACATCTCTCTCTTTAAGTTGAAAACTAGAAATAATTAAGCTTAGTGAGGAAGACATGTTGAAAGCTGAGACAGGCTGCAAGATAGGCCTCTTTCACCAAACAGTCAGTTGTGAATGCAAAGGAAAAGTTCTTGAAGGAAGTTAAAGCTACTCCACTGAACACACGAGTGAAAAGAAGGTAAAACAGCTTTATGGCTGATATGGAGAAAGTCTGAGTGATATGGAAAGAAGATCAAACCAGTCACAACATGCCTTTAACCCAAAGCCTAATCCAGAGCAGGACCCTAACTCTCCTCAGTTCTCTGAAGGCTGAGAGAGATGAGGAAGCTGCAGAAGAAGAGTCAGAAGCTAGGAGAGGTTGGTTCATGAGGGTTAAGGAAAGAAGCTGTCTCCAAAACATAACAGTACAAACTAAAGCAGCAAATGTTGATGTAGACACTGCAGCAAGTTATTCAGAAAACGTAGCTAAGATAATGGATGAAGGTGGCTATACTAAACAGATTTTTAATGTAGATGAATTTATATTGGAAGAAGATACCATCTTAGACTTCCATAACTAGAGAGAAGTCAGTGCCTGGCTTCAAAGGACAGACTGACTTTCTTGATAGGAGCTAATGGAGCTGGTGATTTGAAGTTGAAGCTGATGCTCATTTACTAATCTGAAAATCCTAGTGACCTTAAGAATCATGCTGGCTGGGCATGGTGGCTCATGCCTGAAATCCCAGCACTTTGGGAAGCCAAGTCAGGAAGATTGCTGAGCCCAGGAGTTTGAGACCAGCCTGGGCAACATGGAAAAACCCTGTCTCTACAAAAAAATACAAAATTAGCTGGATGTGGTGGTACACACCTGTGGTTCCAGCTACTACGGAGGCTAAGGTAGGTGGACTGCTTGAGCCTGGGAGGCAGAGGTTGTAGTGAGCCAATATTTCACTACTGCACTCCAGCCTGGGTGACAGAGAAAGACCCTGTGTCAGACAGACAAACAAAAAAAATCATGCTAAATCCACTTTTCCTGTGCTCTAAAAATGGAAAAACAAAGCCTGGATGATAGCACATTTATTTACGGCATGGTTTACTCAATATTTTAAGCCCACTGTTGAGACCTACCTGCTCGGGGGGAGCGGTGGGGAGGGGGTGGCATGGAAATTCCTTTCAAAATATTACTGCTCATTGACAATGCACCAGTCACTAAAGAGCTCCTCAAGAGGTTAAAATTGTTTTCATGCCTACTAACGCAGCTAACCGTTCCACAGCCCACAGATCAAGGAGTAATTTCAACTTTCAGGTCTTATTATTTAAGAAATACATTTTGTAAGGTTATAGCTGCTAAAGATAGTGATTTCTCTGATGGATCTGGGGAAAGTAAATTGAAAACCTCCTGGAGAGGATTCATATTCTAGATACAATCAAGAACATTCGTGATTCATGGGAAGAGAACAAAATATCAACATGAACAGGAGTTGGAAGAAGTTGATTACCATCCTTATGGATGACTTTAAGAGGGTCAAGACTTCAGTGGAGGAAATAACTGCAGATATAGTAGAAACAGCAAGAGAACTACAATTAGAAGTGTAGCCTGAAGATGTGACAGAATTGCTTCATGCTTATGATAAAATTTGAATGGATGAGAAGTTGCTTCTTAAGGATAAGCAAAGAAAGTAGTTTCTTGAGATGAAATCTACTCCTGATGATGCTCTGAAATTGTTGAAATAGCAGCAAAGAATTTAGGATGGCACATAAACTTAATTGATAAAGCAGTGGCAGAGTTTGAGAGGATTTACTCCAATTTCGAGAGTTCTTTGGGTAAAATGCTATTAAACAGCATTGCATACCACAGAGAAATAGTTCATGAATGGAAAAATCAATTGATGCAGCAAACTTCAGTGTTGTCACATTTTAAGAAATTGCCACAGCCAACCCAGCCTTCAGCAGTTATCACCCCGATCAGCCATCAGTCAGCAGCCATCAAGGCAAGACTCTGCAGCCTCAAAAAGATTATGACTCACTGAAGAGTCCGGCCTTGTTTTGCAATAAAAATCTCTCAAGGTATGTGCATTTTTTAGACATGCTACTCCACACTTAATAGACTGCTATATAGCATAAACGTAACATTTATATGCAATGGAAAGCCAAAAAAATTGTGAGACTTACTTTATTGGAATATTAGCTTTTTGGCAGTGTTCTATAACCAAATCTGCAATATCTCCAATGTATGCCTGTAAATGTTAATAGACCCATCTTTGACATGCAATATAAGCAGGCCAAGCTATGTGCATCACTTTGTGCACCTATTTTCTTAATCATCTGAATATTTCACTGCATTTAATAGTTCTAAAACCAAATAGTGTCTTATTCTTTATTCCTGAAGTAACTAAAATGTCTCTTAGTTAATTTTATGTCATTTTTTGCTTATTTCACAGAAATTTTTTTTTACTTTCCAATTATTGCCTTGATCACAGCCATTCACTCTGAGTAAATCTGTTCCAGTTTGGAGTTGATCTTCTTTAACAATAATGCTAACGTTATGCCTTAGCATCAGCCTGAAGTACACCTACTGCTACAGTGAGCCAGTCTTCTGAGCTGTTTCACCCAGGAATGTATTCAGACCAATTACAGAAGAACCAGAGAAATGTCAAATAGTTAAAGAATCTAGCCCACATAGAAAGGGAGCTTCTGGTCAGGAGTTCTTCAGACAGAGTACTATGGGTATTTACTTGGGCCTCATGCATCCAGCTTCAGGCTCGTCACCATCAATGATGGAGAGCAGCAATACACAGTAAGTAACACATCTTGGAACTGCTGTTACTGGAGAAGTTCCTGACCATCCTGCCCAAGAAATCCAGGTCTGAGTATAGGAGCATCTCAGAGTATAGGGAAGAGGCTGTCTGTACTGAAGAATTTGGAGAGAAAGCTGAATGATCCAGGAGGAAAGGTAAAATAAAGAAGAAATGTCTATCAGATAGCAGGTATTATCTCCAGAGAGAGATAAGAGAGTTGAGATCACTTTTCTAGTGTAGTTACAGGGAAATGGCTAACATGTTATTGGCCAGAATTATTTATTTTTGTTCTACTTTGGTTTTTTAACTTGTTGTCCCTGTGTATTTTCCCCTTTGTCCCTTTATCCCTGCCCTTGCAGGGATAACCACTTTCAGCTCTCCCATTGTGGTGTTCCACAGTAATACTGGGATTTTAAGCTCTAATTTTCAGCAAATGTCACCCTCATTTAACTATATCTAATTGTCCCCAGCTCCCCACCCTTCTACAGGTGACAAGAAGTGCCCCCAACGGCAAATAGTGTATCTGGCAGCCGCACAGGACTCACCTGGCATCTGGCTCCAGCCAGTAAAGGGTCAACTCAGCTCTGAATCTTGGGAGTTGTACACTGTTAAGGAGAACACTGAGGAGAAGATAGCAAAGAAGAAGTTAGGAAATGTTGCTGTCTTTTTGCATTTTTCCAAATGAACCTCGTGACTAAAATCTCTGCCTACCTTTTATTTGTTAATGCCTATTCCACTTTTAACTTGTTCCTCTAAGCATATCACTTTAACCTTTTCTTTCTTAACTTCTTTGCCTTAAAATTGTTTTTTAAAAAAATCCTGTTGCTTTCGTCTTATTTTGCATGGTTCAGTTTCTCCCTTCTAATACTGCCAACTTCCTTGATGCAGACCTCTTACCCCAAAGACAGGAGAATGTTTTTCCATATTGAAGTCAACAGAACTATTAAAAGGCTACATGCAATAAATAAAGTTTTGAATGTACATTTTTAAATGAGTGGAGGAAACATAAAATTTTAGTAGGTGCATGCTTACTAGGAAAGCATGCATGCTAAAATGTCATTATATAGTGTTTACCACTTGTTTTTTAGTTTAATATTACATTATGGATATCTTTCCAAGTTACATATAATACATATATGTAGCTGACATACATTTCACTGCAATAGTATTGAATTATTTTGTAACTGGCCTTAGAGGGTTTTTACGTTGCTTCTTTTTTCTTTTCTTTTCTTTCTTTTTTTTTTTT